TTCTCGAGCCCTAGTTGTCTCGAGTCTTGTTCGAGCCCTAGCCATGCTCATAGCCTTACTTAGAATATTTCTAAGTATTAGATCATATTTGTCAAGCCTTGGATGTTATTCCCTCGGTCTAGTATACCGCACCTAGTTCGTGCGTGGCCCCGAGATCACTCGCGCCTAGGGTTCGCAAGTTCGGGCCAAAGCCGTGCCGAGTTCGCACCAAGTCATGACCAAGTATTGAGGGGATTTTCCTAGGTTTGGTGGCACCTAAGTGTGGCCATTTTTCAGCCCTAGCCAAGGGTTAGCCTCGGTTCAAGTGCATTCCAAGTCGGGCCATGAGTCGCGCCCTAGTACCCGCACCCTAGCCTCGCGCGAGTCAAGTATGGTGGCCCAAGTCATGGCCAAACACCTTTGGAATTTTTCTAAGTATTATGCATCAAGATAGGATCATGGGCCATGTCATTTATGCCTTAGAAAGTCATTTTTCTCGGTCCAAGGTTTGTCCCGCGCCCAGTCCGCGTGCACAGGCCCGTTCGCGCAACCCAGCGCCCAGCCCAGGGCCGTGTGCAGCCCAGCTCGCGCCCAGCGCGCCCAGCCCAGCGCCAGCAGCGACAGCCCATCATTTGGAGCCCAATTCTTGAAATTCCGGCCCACTTCCTTCCATGACCCAATGCTGCGTGTATTAAGGACTTAATGAGGGTCATTTAGGGCTAAGATGTCCCTAAGAAAGTGTTAAGGAAGTCAGCCTATGATTAAGCCAAAGTGGAGCATGTGCTTGTGGAATATTTTATTCAAGTGTGTAAGGCATTGTCCCCCACTACCTCCTCCTCCACCTTGGGACCGACCAGACCTGCTCTCCATCATATTTTAATGCCTTGGTCAGTCAAGATGCCCCTGCAAACCCTCCAAGTTCGTGCAAACAGCCCCAAACCATGTCCCCATGCACATGTGATGTGTGTGTGTCTCCACTTTGAGCATTGTTTTCTCCGCCCATGCATTTCCCTTATAAGGCCACCTTCAGCTGAGTGTTAGAGCTCTTGGATACTCATAATTTTCGAGCATAACACTTAGCACATTGAGGGAAAACAAGAGAAAAACCGAGAGCAAGCCAAGGCAAGCCTAGCCGCGCGCGCGTGTGCCCCGGGGAAGAGGAGTGCTCGTGTCCAGCTTGTTCCAGCCTAGTTATCTCGAGGCTTATCATTATCCAAGCTTAGTTTGGATTTTTCTAAGTCTCTTGAAGCTATCCTCCTCAGCCATTCAAGCCCCTAAGTCGAGGCTAGTCTCCTAGGCCATTTGCGAGCCCGAGCAAAGGCCATTAGCACCATTCGCGAGCTCGAGCAAGGTTAGCTCGTGACTTTCATTTTTCCTAGCTTATTCATGATAAAATAAGATTTATCATGTACAAAAATGATGCCATGCACGAGAAGAATATGGAGATTTGGATTTTTGAAGATTTAAGCCCTAATTTCGTAAGTTATGGTACATGCATGATATGGCCGAGATTAGTATCTTAAAAATCCTCAAAAATCATGAGTATGACATGGTTAAAACAGTTTCATGCTTTGAGTTCATTTGTTCGGTCAATTTGTTAAGTGAAATCGAGCCATTTTCACCCCCGAACCTAAGTATATGTGCATGCATGTATTGACCAATGTTCTAGCCTCATTAGCCATGATTTTTGATGTATATCATTCGGCCCTAGGTCAATTTTCATGTTGAGCATGTTCATTTTTGTGCCCTAGGGTGGCCTCGTGCCTAATCGGCCCTATAAGCCCACCACCAAATCCAACCGAGGTCCCTCAGTGACTTTTGGCATTTTTGAGCATTTTATGTCATATTAGGTTGATTTGGTTCAGTAGTCCCCGGCAAAGTTGTCGGAAGTTTGGCAAAGGACCGGCTAGGGTCACCAGCCGCGCCAGTCGCGCGTGCCGTGCCCGTGCCGCGTCGCAGGGGCCAGGCAGTGCCCCTGTCCGTGCCCGCGCCTAGCGCTCGCGAGGCACCGCAGTCCCCAGTGCACGTGACAGCGCCCAGCCGCGCCTGTCCGTGCCAGCCCGCGAGGTCTCAGCGCCAGTCGCGCCAGAGCACCTCCGACAGCGCCCGGCAGCGCTGTCCCAGTGTCATGCACGCGTGATCCCGAGCCAGTCGCTCGTACCACGCGGAGTCGACCTCGGGTCGTGCCAGCAGCGCACCCGAGTGTCCAGTGCCGTGCTGTAGTGACCCCGAGTCAGGTCCAGAGGCCTCGGGACGTGCCCAGCAGCACGCCCGAGTAGTCAGTTAGCCCGGGACGTGCCCAGCAGCATGCCCGCGTGCCCAGGGTCGCCCGGTAGCACCCTGACAGCCCTAGCCGCGCCCGAGCCGCGCGAGTAGTGTCTGGCCACGTCCGTTCTCGCGCCAGTCGCACTCGGGTCGTGCCAGCCGCACGCCCAGTGCCCAGTCAACCCGGGTACGCGCCAGTTCCCGCGTCCCTCGTGCTCGACCGTGCCCAGCAGCACGCCAGCACACCCAGTGACTCTCGGTCGTGCCCAGCCGCACCTAGTGGCACCAGTCGTGCCAGGGCCCGTGCCAGCCGCACAGCCCGCGCCCAGCAGCGCCTAGTACCGTGCCCGGTCGCACCCAGCTAGTGCCCAGCGCCGTGCCATGGCCCCAGCAGGCCCGGCACGGGATCGAGCCCGGCCAGTCCGAGCAGCCCGTGACCAACCGGTCCAGTGTGACCCGGTGGTCCAACCGGGTCCGGCCCAGCCCGACCCGGTTCAGCCAGTTAGCGAACCGGCCGGTTTAGCCGGCGGTTCGAGTCCGTTTTGGTTCGTGATTTTCGGTCCGAGTCTTATTCCGAAATTTAAGTATTTTTCCGAGCCAAACCAGATCAGTTAAGCATATCAGTATTATTTTCGGACTTATAATTATTTCTGTGAACCCTTAGAGCGTTCCTTTATATCTGGATGAGTAATCTGATAGAGTAGAGCATCCTAGCATATTTTTGAGCATATGACGAGCATAGTACTTAGTATATTTGTTTGCTTATATTTTTATGTAGCTTGAGGAGTCAGCTTCCAGCACAGCCGCACTTACTCATTTTCAAAACCGATCAGGTGGGGACCCAGTCTGGGTTATACATTGAGTTTAATAGTCGATATCACGTTCAGGTATGTATATGAGTTTTATCCACTTTGGGTTAAGGCCCAGTTTGCCTTCCCTAAGTTCTGGTGGTGGCCCAGTTTGCCCTAGTTATACCATCAGAGTGTGCACACGGTTACCGGCCAGAGTGTTCCGGGAGTTACCGGCCAGAGAGTTCCGGGAGTTACAGTTTACTTATATATACTAGTTTGTGATATCATTATTAATATTGCTGTTTACTTTAGAATGGGTTTTTATGGAGTACAAGTGGACCGTACTCACCCCCACTTTATATTTTCAGATGGCAGGGTCGGCGGACAGGCGTGAGACGAGCTGTGGTGGTGGTGGTCGTGAGTTTCGCACGAAAGCTGTTCCCGGGACATTTGTTTAAACTGTTTTGTAATCTATTATAACCACGAATTTTAGACTTCCGCTATGCTTGCGTTTAATTTCGAACATGCATGACTTTATTATCAGACTTAAATAATTTTACCCGGTTCGCCAGTACGAACGGGTCCAGACTAATATGCATGATTCGTTAAAAATATGAACCTGATTTCTTTAAGTCTAAACCAGTCGTTAGACCTAGGTTAAGAAACGGGTTTTTAAGCAGAAAAGTCCTTAGCAGCATCCCGAGATAGTTTGCAAATGATTTCGAAAAATTTATAAGCGTTTTCGAAAGAGTTAAAATTTGCGAAAATTTGGCCCTAGTTAGCGGGGTGTTGCAGAAATGATGCCCGTCAATCAGCAGTCGCTTCACACGTGTTGTCATCATTGTTCGCGGGCCCACTCATAGGGTAGTTGACTCTATACAGTCAACTCGCATTAAATGTCGTCGAATCTCCTTAAAAAACGAGCCAAAAGTTGCTATATATAGCCTCATTTATTCCAATACGAGGATCTTTTTCCGACACATTAAATTGTTGCATTTAACAACTCGGTTACAGCAAAATATCGACATCTTGTACTCAAAACCGACATCAAAATTCTATAATAAAGATACATTTTCTGTTTTCTTTATAATTTACTCTATGTTAAAACTATTGTTAAATTCCACATAACAACAGACCAAAATAAAGTTTAAAAACCTGACCGTTGGCAGTTCCAGGTGGGCCAATTCGGAAATGGATCCAGACCTACAACCGTCTGTNNNNAAAACTGGTTATTGTATCTCCAACGGTAAAAAAGATCCAACGGCCCAAATTTAATCTAGCCGTCAGGCCGCCAATATTCATCAGTGGTTCCGGTCCAGCATAAAATTATTAAAAAAAAAGTTAAAAAATGACGGGCGTCCTCCAACGCCGATGCTAAACCGGCCGGCGGTTTAAAAAACTACAAATAGGTGGCCCAAAACCAATCCAGTCAAACTACGAGCTCAATTCAAAGCCCGTTGACCATGGAACCGGCCCAAAACCGACCCATTGTCATGTCTACTTCAACGTATATACTCTTGTTCTGCCCGTTGTCATGTCTACTTCAACGAATCTATTCTCGTTTCTACTTTCTTTGTACTTCACACATGAAGTTTATCCTATTTCATCTATTGCAACCCCACGTATCTATTGGAACCCCACGTTTAATTATCTATAACACAAAGAAATCGATAAAAGCAACTGCTGAGGATGAAGCTGGGAAAAAAGAAAAGAAAAAAATAAATTTAATCCAAAGAATTAAATTCTTGTTCTTCTCCTCAACCATATATCAACATGATTGATAACAACAAAGGTTTAAAATAGAAGAACCTACCCAAGTACAAAATTATCTCTTTTCGGAAAACATGAAAACTGAGATTGTCGTGTCTATGTAACAGAAGGCCTCTATTTTTTATGAGATTCATGGCATATGAAATTTGAAGACTCGTTGATTATCCCTCATAGTATATATACTTCCTCCTGAGATCACTTCCTATGCTCCACTTGCTTCATATCAAATGTTGTGTTCCCTGAAAGCACACAGAATATTTCATTTATAGATCTGCAATAAAAGCATGATTTGAATAAATGCATATTTAACTGAAAGGACAGGCCAACATACTCCACAACATTTTCCATAACAATTGGGAGAGGAGAAGAAACCAAAAAAGGTATCGAATGTGGTAAGCGAACAGATCAAGAGCTGTGATCGAGAATAATTTATATGCTTTCTTCTTCGAATTAGCATATACAGAGCATACTATAATAATATCATTCTGAAATTTCAGGTAGGATAATTCCACTTAAGGTAAAAAAAAAATTAAGTGAACTGTGAATATCCTACATCATATTAAAAAAAACAAAATCTGCAAAGGTGTGAAACTGCCAATGATGGTTATACACACATATGAGATTAGTTGGCCATTGCAAGTTGAACACAAAGTTCTCTGAGTAGATTACCAAAATACATGCACGAGTGATCGTTTGCAATTTCTTAACAGGAAAAAACATACGAATACAAAATCCAAATAGTTACTTGCTAAAGTTTTCGGTTGCAGGTACATAATAGCCGTCATGGAGGTCAACATTCTGTTCCTCTTTTCTTTTGTGCTTGCAAAAAAATACAATTGGTCAAAATATTGGAGAATGGTATGGATTGGCATTTGGTTGTGTTTACCAGTAATGATGGTCTAGCTGGCAACACTCAATAATTGAAGTCTCTCTCAATGGAGCAAATATATGCAAATGTCTTGAAGGAGAAGAGGGAAAAGTCGTTGAAACTTACACTCAACCGATTCAAACAAAATGAAACAGAGAGTAACTGAACAATAAACTCATGTACCAAATTAATTAAAAATCAAAGAAGTATGAGTCAGTTGTGCAAGTTATAATGGAACAATTCAACTCCTGGATAGATATATCTGACTTGGCGACGTAGCTTAAGTACTATAAGCAGGTGGCTTAAGGAATTAGGTCGAGGCAGTTACTTGGTTTCCAATTTTAAGAGTTTCAGAGCAGAATGCCACAGGTGAACTTAGAACATCAGATGCAGCATCAAACCAGAACTTCACATGACTCATAATGGCACAACCATTACCAGTCAATGAAAACAAAAACAGCCCAGTTGGTTTATTGATTGACTAACAAAAGACCATAAAAAAAGTGTCAATGCAGAATGGATACTTGTATTTCTCACTTTCCAGGGGTCGATAAAGTCAAGATCAGGATCATTCATTGCTTTTCAAAATGAAATTATATTCTGTAATTGTCCGTCAGTGTATTTACACATAATGATAGTTGCCAATAGCGTGCACCAAGCTAATGACACATAACGTCCTGTCTTGCAGGCCTCATTAGCGTCCCAGGTACTGGAGGTCAGTGCTGAATGAGCCGCACCTCTGTATCTAGGGCTTTTGAAAAATGAGGCTCTGAATACTAAGGTTCTTTATGTAGGAAACATGTAATCAGTTGGTCATTTATTGAAAAAATAAAATTACAAATAATATGCTAAACTAAATCAGAATTAAGGCTCCTGAGCAGAAACCCTTTATGCATTTTTCCACAAATCTTATCATTTAAGTTTTACATGTTTTGTAAACGCGCAGCTTCAATTCTCTGTTATCTTTGCTTTGGTTAGTTGCTGGTCATAGTCGCTTATTACTTAAGGAGTCATGTTTCATTTTTTGTTTTGTTTTATGGTTAGACGGGGACGACATCGTTTATACCAGCACTCAATATCCTCATGCATATATGAGGTGATCACGATGCATATACTGTTAAGATTGAGATGAAACAAAAAATATGAGTTTGGCAGCTGAGATTTAGAATGGTTTCGAGAGCTAGCCACGATCCACTAAAATCTTCCTTGTGATCTCTAATGGCGGGGAATCAAAACAACATGGAAGCTTGGCCGATGCTCAATACTAGAGGCGGCAGTGGAGCAGAGCTTCCAGAAGACGGTCCTTTGTTTTTGCACGGATCAGATCACCCAGGTTGCAATTTGTTTCGCATGCGCTTACTAGACCTAATTTTTTTGTACGGAAGCGATGATCGCACTTGGTGTGAAGACAAAGTTAGGGTTTATAAATGGATTAGTAGAACCACCAAAGCAGGGAGATGCTAATTTTGATAAATGGAAAAGGGTAGATTGGATGGTGACGTGGATTTTAATTTCATTATCCGTAGATGCATTCATTTATGCTGAATCGGTGAAGGATCTTTGAGAAGAAACCCGTCAAAGGTTTGGAGAAAGCAACACAGCTTTATTTTTCAATTGCAAAGAGATATTTCATATCTTAAGCTGGGTAATGAGTCTGTTTTTCAGTATTTCAATAAATTGACGAACAAATGGGATGAATTGAGTTTGTCTGTGCCACAAGTGATCTATCATCTATAAACGTGAAATGGGGAAGCAAGTAATGGAACAGAATATGCAAACAAAGTTGATGCAGTTCTTAATGGGATTAAATGAAAGTTATGACCACATTAAGAATCAATTGCTGTTAATGGATCCCTTGCCTAATGTTAATAAGGCATATTCAATTATTTTGACAGTTAGAGAGGCAAAGATTTTTTCAATCATCTTGTGGAGATTTAAACGCAAACATAGCAATGGCTGTCAAATAATGGACCAAGGAGAGAATTTGTAAATTGACAACATAATTATGAACAAGGTAAAGGGAAAGAATGGCAAAGGCTATCAAAGGAAGAGAAGTCAAGACTGGTATGGTATGTGAGAACTGAGGTTGGAATGGACATGAGAAGTCAACTTGTTTCAAATTGCATGGGTATCCTGAATGGTTTAAGGTAATGAAAGAGAAGAGGGGTCAGAGTTTTGTAAATGCAGCACATTCAGATGAAGTTTGAAGGCAATATATAGTCAAAGTAAGACTACTGATATCTCAGCTATAGCACAAGTTGTCAAATTTCTTGGGAAATATCCTTCAGAAAATGCAGTTGGAAAGCCCTACAAAGAGGAAGAGCAATATGTAAATTTTGCAGGAAATGAGGAGAATGAAGGGATGCATTATGCACTATCATTGTTTGATGAGATTGGAGAGGAAGCAAGGGTCATTGACACAGGAGTTAGTTAGCACATGTGCATCAAAAGTGAGCTGACGAGCAACATTAAGACCTTAAGGACACCAGTTACGCTGTATTTACCTATTTACATGATGGAACAACAAAGCTGGTTACAATGGTGGGAGAGGTGAAGCTATCAGATGAACTTGTGCTGCATGAAGTGTTGTTTGCACCCTCTTTTAAGTACAATCTTGTTAACAACTCTGTGTGACATCAGATTTGAGGTATATTATCACACCTATGGGGTGTTCTTTGCAAAATGCAGAAAGGATATTGGGGAATGGAGAAATGAGGGACAAATTATATGTGTTAGTTCAGAATGATATAGGAAAGGAGTACATGGCTATTCAAGCAAAGCGTCCCTGAAGGAATGGCATAAAAATTGAGGTCATGCTTCAACTGGAATCTTACAGCATAAACCTTTCCTCAAGGAGCATTGTAGTGATATTGGACTTAAAAATCTGAAGAATTGTGAAATGTGCTTCAAGTCCAAACAAAATAGGTTACCTTTCCCTCATGGTAACATACAAACAAGGAGTTGTTTTGAATTAATACATGTGAACATTTGGGGTCCGTGTAGAGAAGAATCTTTAACAAAGACACCATACTTCCTAACTGTGGTGGATGATTATAGGAGAGGAGGGTGGATATTTCTTATGTGTGGGAAAGCAGAAACAGTAGGTCTGATCAAAAGTTTCATTCTCATGGTCAAGACCAGTTTGGTAAGCAAGTGAAACAATTGAAGATTGATAATGGGGAGAAGTTCACTGGAAAAAAGTATCAAAAGGTTCTCCAAGAAAATGGGATTCTTTATCAGAAATCTTGTGCATATACACCACAGAGAAATGGTGTAGTTGAGAGGAAACACAAGCAAATTTTGGAGATTTCAAGGGGCATGTTATTTTAATCTGGGATGAGCCAGATTTTTTGGCCATGTGCAGTGCTTGTTGCAACTCATGTTATCAATGGCCTGCCTAGTGCGATATTGAGCAGGGAAACACCTTTTGACACTTTCTGAAGTCTGGCAAGGTGTCTGAATATAATAGGCTAGGCCATTTGGTTGCCTAGTTTATGCAGTCAACACGTCCTGCAAGGGGTAAGCTTGAACTGAGGTCACACAAATGTGTTTTAATTGAATATTCTAGAAGATATATTCTCTTTGATCTAGAACGAGAACGGAAATTTATATCAAGAGATGTAACCTACCTTTGTCACTGATATCTTCCCTTACAAGGGAAAAGAGATATAGAGGAATTCAAGTACACCTTTGCCTGTTTTTGAGAATAGTTTGGAGCCACATTGTTCTAGAATTACAAATGCACAAGAAAATGGTAAGTGAGGTTAATGGAAAAGGTTGAGGAAGAAACAGATTTGGATGAGGGATTAAGTGTGTCATGCAACAGAAAGTGACTGTGTGGGAAAATATGAAGTTAAGGAGATCTCACTTGATAACAAATTCACAACACAAGAGCATGTTTGACATTCACCTTTGCTATGAACAAGCTAAGATCAACAAATTATGGGTTGAGACTATGAATCTGGAATTGAAGCTCATTTATCTGTCACTGGGTAAAAAGGCTATAGGTTCGAAATGGGTGTACAAAATTAAAAAGAGAGCAAATGGTGAGGTTGAAAGGTTCAAAGCAAGACTTGTGTCCAAAGGTTTTAACTAAGGGGAAGGGGTAGACTACTTGGATGTCTTCTCAAACCAATGGCTAAGCTAGTTAGAGTGAGAATGTTTATAGCAATGGCTACAATAAAGGGCTGGAATTTGTGGCAATTACGTGTGAACAGCGCCTTTCTTCATGGGCATTTGACAAAGGAGGTTTGTATGAAGTTGCCACAAAGATATAAGAAAGTGACAGTGGGACAGGTTTGCAAGCTTACCAAAAGGATGTATGGATTGAAGCAAGCATCTAGAGAATGAAATTGTGAGCTTTCAAAAAGGCTATTGAAGTTTGGTCTCACACGATCACTGTCTTTTTACACAAACAAATGCACTAGACTTTCTTGCTATGCTGGTCTATGTCGATGATGTATTAGTCACAGGATCAAATGATGATCAAATTGCTGCATTAAGGGCATACTTACATCAGTTGTTTATCATCAAAGATTTTGGGGTTGCTAATTACTTCCTGGGTATAGAAATCTCAACGATTAAAGGAGGGATACATTTGAGCCAAAAGAAATATATTCAAGAATTGATGCATGATGTGAAGTTGGAGGACTTCAAGATACCAGCTACACCTTTACCACTAGGAATTAAACTTTCTTGCTATGAGGGAACACCTTTACCTGAACGTGAGAGGTATAGAAGAATGATTGGGAGACTCTTATACCTCAATATGACCAGGCCAGACGTCGACTATGCATTCCAACAGTTGAGTCAATTTGTCAAAATCCTTTTACAGAACATTGGAATGCACCCCTACATGTTGTCAAATATCTGAAGGGGACAGTTTCACTTAGACTGCACTTTAACTCAAAATCAGAATACAACTTACATGTTTTCTATTGATTGGGAAAACATGCAAGGACACAAGGAAATCTATTACGGGCTAGGACTATTGTGTGTTCTTAGGAGACAACCTCATTTAATGGAAAAGCAAGGAACGGGTCACAGTATCAAGATCTTCGACAGAGGCAGAATATAGAGCCATGGGGACTACTGCTTGTGAACTACAATGATTATATGTTTTGGCTAAGGCTAAGGATCTTCAGATGGATATAACATTAAATATCACTATGTGGTGCGATAACCACGCTGCTATGCACATCACGGCTAATCCGGTGTTTCATGAGAGAACAAAACACCTTGATACTTGATAGATGGTCATGTGCTGCGAAACAAGTTCAAGGAAGGTTTTGTTAAACCTACATATGTTCCTTCTGTCTCTCAAGTAGCAGATTTCTTCAGTAAGCTGTTGTCGATTTCAATCTTTAACAAATTGCTGTGCAAGTTGGGTGTGTCTTGCTTCACACGCACTCCAACTTGAAGAAAGGGTGTAAAAGTGCAGCTTCAATTCTGTTATTTCCGGATTTATTTGCTTTGTTTAGTTCCTGGTCATAGTCGCTTATTACTTAACGAGTCGTGTTTCTTTTTTTGTTTTGTTTTATGGTTAGACGGGGACGACGTCGTTTTTAGCAGCATTTAATATCCTCATGCATATATGAGGTGATCAGGATGCATGTACTGTTTTGATTGAGATGAAATGAAAAATATGAGTTTGGCCCCTGAGATTTAACATATTTTACCCTCTTTTGTGTCTCGCTTTAGTAATACGAGTTCTGTGTTTTAAAGATCTAAAGCCTCGGACGTATGATTAACAAGAAACATTATGTTCACTTCTCGGATACCGCAATCTAGCGAACAATGAACACCTCAGATCACCAGAACTAGCATGAGTGATACCCTACCAAACTGATTTTCAATTAAGATTACCAAACCCTAAAACCATGCCCTTCACAGCCATAGCACTACATTTCAACATTAACATTAACATAAATCCAGCAAATAACAGAAAATAATGGTACCAAAATCAATAGCAAAAAAGAAAACTGACCAAGGAAGGTGAAGAATGCAGAGGGGGCGGTTTGAGCCTGAGGTAGCGGGCAGACATCCCAGCAATTTCTGAAATGGCAGCCTCCCTAACTTCGGGCACCTCGCTGGTCAAATCCTCATAGGCGGCTTCAAAGGCCTCCAGCCAAAAACTGTCCAATCTCACTCGCTGGCTGTTGATGTACACATCCCACATATGATTCACCAGCTTCTCCCTCTCTTCCATATCCTAACCCAAAAAATCCCCAAACAACAAAAAAGTATTCAAAACCCTCACCAGGCAACATAACAGAGAATACAGATATGAAAATGGAAAGGGGGTAGTAGAAAGATTACGAGGACGTCGAGATCGTCCGAGGGTTGGGAGCCGTAATTTTCATTGAACCGGTCCTTTAGATCTCCAGCGGACCACCGGAGGGTGACTGTGCCGGTAAGCATCGACCAGAAAGCCAGCAGCAAAATGGCGCCGAAAGCCCAGAACTTGTAGCGGCCGCGTCCGAAAATGCTGAAGGAATCCAAGGGCGCGTCTCTTCTGGGGAGGACGGATGAAGATGTGGGCGTAGACACGGGTAGAGGAACGTCATCATCCCTCATGTCGATGTATAGCAGATGCAATTTGAAGCTTTCAGAATAATACTTCAAATGGAGATGGACGGAGAGTGGGATTATGTAACGCCCCACTTTTCGTACGTTGAAATCAATTGAAAATTCAGAGTAAATTTTTCTTTGAAACAATACTTGGAAATCTTTACTTAAACTTAGGGCGTTACTAAAATAAACTTACTTGCATTTGAAACTTAACTTACATTTCGCGAACAACTCATGACTTTGTCTTACTTTGAAAACATTAGACATAAAAGATAAACTTTCCATGGCAATGCCTTGAGGGCTTACATGTGACCTTGGCTTAACATTGAACCTTGCATATCGATGACATACACTTTGCTTTAAACATGAATATTCCATAAAAACATAACTAATTGCGGAAACGTAGAAACTCGAATCATATTATAATTCTATGACTATGTGACCACCCTCGCCATCGCTCCAATGCCAGCTCGCCATATACCTGGGTGTGGAAAACAAATAGGGTGTGAGCATTTCCACTTACTCAGTGAGAGATCCTTCTAAGTTACCATCCTAACCAACTATCATGCATGAAATCATTAGGTATACTCAACATAATCATGAGCTCCCGACGAGTGGTTGCCCACAAGTCGAAAGACTTTCTTGCTACTACAACCCTATTAGACAACTAAACACTAAAGTCATAGCACGCACGTGAGTACACTATCGTCACACTCCCACCCCTCGTCAAACTCCTTATACCACTTTATGGTGGTGGGAGAACATTGCCTCTCGCGGCACGGCCAACTAGGCTTGACGAGAGTACCACCCGTGGGGTTGAAGGAAGACAGCCCTCATCATGGCTCCGTACAGTCTTATCGACGGGGACAACCGTTCGAAGTGTGCACCAACGAAGGTTACATGCACGCACTTACATACTCTAACCCTAGCATCTAGCCACCCTCTAGAGTTATAGTCCGTGAACCTTGGTACTGCAACAAACGACTTGCTCGAATGTTGGAACATTGTATAAACATGGGTACTATGCAAGCTACTTAACTTCATTCAAAACATAGATAATCAAAAAGGATAAATAACGTAGAACTTCCCCCACCTTTTTTTTTGGTATGCTCGACTTAAAGGCTTGAACTTGAAAGAACTTGAGGGCTCGACTCCTCGATAACTACATTCATTGGGGCATGTCTTAGAATCTTATCATGGCTTAACTTAAACTCATACTTACTCTTATACATATACGTGAACTTTGAAAACTAGCTTGCTCGGCTTTGCCTTGCTTGCATACTTTGAAAACGTTTGTTTATGTTTAAGTCTTTTCGATTGGTTGATAACTTAACTTGCTTAAATTTTATCACATAGGGAATTGAAGGATCATATAAACTTCAAATAGCATGACATGGATCAGTTATGCCACATAAACATGTCTTTAAACAATAACAATCAAATTTGGAATTCCAAACATGAGCTTATACAATTTTCAGCATGCGCGATGAACTTAGAATGCATGTAACTTTCAGTCCATAGGTCATATCATGATTATTCTAATTGGAAATTATCCCTAACTCATGACTCTACAACCTTCATGATGACCACTCAAACAGATAACGTCATTTAAATGCACATAATATAACAACCATCTAATTCATAGACGCAGTCAACGATTGAAGTAAAACAGCTGACAGGACTTCAGTAATTGCAAGATAAATGAAGCTACAGACATGCTTTTCATAAGATTCAAAAACCACCAGACAGCCAACTTAATTATCTAAAAGTTTTTTAAAGACCACATTGGCAAATAATGATATTATCATCGAGTTTAATCTTGAAACATTCAGATTATAAAAACTGCCAGAAATCAACTTATATTACATACAGAACCTCAGTAATTTTCATGTATCTCGAGCTATAGGTCATAAAATAATGAAATTCCAAAGCTTACAGAAACTACACACATATGTCTACATATCTCATGAAGACCATTTTCACATTTGAGCATGTTTGACACATCAAAGTCAGTCATACATTAAAGGTATATTCTCAGTCCTAACTTCACAGAAACTGGGCACACAACTGACTTGTAAAAATCATATAAAATCCATATGAACTCCGATTTCCAAAATTCTAAAGCCTACTGAATCCTAACACAATTTTCCACATATCATCTGAAGAACACATTCCCAAGAAACGAGTTCTTGGTCGCCAAAAACGGCTCACAACAGAGGCCACGAAACAGAAATTTCAGGCACAACTTCAATAGATCATCATCAATAATCATTCAATTCAACATGACACATAATTTTCATTAAGCAAGCTTTATTATCAACTTCTTAGACATTAAACATACTTTAAAATTATCAAATTGTCCAAGATCCAACTTGGTCTTTCATTAAATATAAAAGAAAATCATTGAATCTTATATAATTCTCTAGTTATTTTACATATCTTATCATGATTTATTAAGATTATGAACATTAAATTCAGCCCAAGAATCGAAAAGAGGGTTTACCGTGCTCGGGAAAAAGAAGAAAAGAATGACTCGTGAAAAAGCTCGGGCTCTTGGCGGTAGGCTTGAACGTGTGAAGGGATGTAGTTTTTCTCTTCTTTTTTTTTCTTCTTGTTGCGTGCGTAAATAAATCCCATGAGGGAAGAGATATATTTATACAGCTAGGTTTATAAGACTTGGATTAGGAAAAAGGATTCCTAAGACTTGGATTAGGAAAAGGATTCCTATTTTCCATGTGTGTGGGATTCTTTTTGGCTTGGTGATCAAGACAAGATTTTTCTCTCTTATCTTTTCTCTCACCTCACGTTTTTTCTCTCCTTAGGGCGATTTTGGTGCTCAAAATCTTAGATTAATACTTCTGCTAATTACTGCTAAGGTTTTAATTAATAAATTAATCTATCTCATTAATATAATAAAAATTATATTAATATTATGACTATTTAATACTTAAGAAAATTAAATAAATGAGGACATCTAAATAATTTTTCCAATTATCAATATTTATAATTAACGAGTGTGGACACTCACTTAATCAATACATAAAAATCGAGCTCAATAATAAAATAAAATAACATTAACATTAACATTAATTAATTTATCATGAAAAATACTAAATATGCATAAAATGAATGGCACGAGTTCGGGGCGTTACAGATTATTATGATCTAAATTGTGGACCATCACAACCAAATAGCGCTGCTGCAGCCGGAGCCTAGCACGTAATATTGGATTCTTTTCCAAATCAAAATGTAATAATCGTGTTCTTTAGTTTTGTAGAGCGAGTTTACCGTTAATAGGCTTAACAAAACTATTGGCCCATAGATCATGTTAACATATAATGAGTAATTTACCCCCTTTACTCTTCATCTGCTAAATAATATTAATAATATGAATAGGTAAACTTTTTATCATAATTACGAAATATTAAATTAATTAAGGTAATGGTTTATTTTCAGCAGCTTTTAAACTACCCACTACACACATTAATGATTGATTGAGTATCGGGAGTGATATTCTCCTTCCTTCCACACGCAATAGCCAAAATAGCCATCTTCCCTAATACAAAAAGCTACTCTCTGTCTGAAAACTTTAATGGCCGAGCGAAAAAAATTCGAAGCCAAATCCGAAAACAATGAAGACGGCCGACGGCCGACCGAAGAAGCCAAGTAAATTCCGATTCGCTCTCTCTATCTCTTTATCTCTATTTTGAAAATTTATTGAGATTTGTAATTCCGATTTTAAATTTTTGAGTTATTTTTTGTTTTTGATTTTCGAGATTGATTTTTATTGGAATTTTGTTTTTGAGATTGAATTTGGTTTTCGAGATTGATTGTTATGGTTACTGGTTGATTTGAAGGTGACTAATGGTTTTTACAATAGAGATTTTCAAATGGGGGAAGTTTATGAGATTGAATTGTATGTTATGCTTTATCTCGTTTGTGTTGTTTATATGTTGTTTATCTTATGTATAACTATACGGATAATTTATATGCATTTTACATGTTGTTTATCTTATGTATATATACAGTATATCTGAACATATTTTCACGATCAACTTTCCACTAACTCAATTTTCTTAGATTACACGGACGATGCTGACTTGGACCATGTACATTAGATCCTGGTTGTCGAGTATCGGGTGAATCGAGGTCGAGGTTTTGTTTTGTGATCTATTATGGCTTAAGAAAATCTTGGTTCTGATGTTTGATGATGATGATGTATGAAAGAGGAGTTTGAGTCTTTCGGTTCGGGTTTGGGTTCGGTTTCGGGTGCGAAATGGGGATTGAATGGAGCCTTTGTGGAGGAGTTTGATGCACAGGCCAGTGGCAATGGAAATCTCAAGAGTGAGGATTATGAGGAGAAAGTAGATGAGTTTGAAAGATCTGCTTACCAATGCCATTTTTTTTTTCATTTCTATTTCCTTTCCAGAATTGAAGGTTGAGATATTAAATGTAATGTTGAAAATGAGTGTAAAAATGATGCTTACTAGTTGAGAGAGTATATTCTAATGTTTACCAATTGTATATTTTAAAACTTGTATGAATATGCACATGTTTATCTAATGGTTATTTTTAGTATACATTATTGTTGTATGAAGAACCACATGTTTATCTAATGTTTATTTTTTAGTATATACATCTGTTGTTTTATAGCAAATTGACCAACTTTATATTCTAAAACTTGTTTGATTATGCACATGTTTATCTAATGTTTATTTTTAGTATACATGTATGTTGTAGCAAAATTTTCAAGATATCTACTAAACTCTGCCTTTTCATGCCTCTTCAGCATATGGATGTTTTATCCTATTATCTCAGAAAACTCGGACCATATGGTTCTTTTGAGGTCGTACGGTAAACCACCACCGACGTGCTATTTGATTGATCTCTGTATGACTAATACCTTTCAAAAGGTTCTGATACTAGTGTGTGTTCTTTCCCATTCATGTTGAACTAAATGGTGTTGGATATTGGGTACTGAGACGATTGTCGCTTGGTGTGAATAGGCTAGTTGTACGTAATTCTTGTCGATCGGAAGAGTTTGACAATATTGTCTTCAATGGTGTTAGATGCTATTCTACTCTCATCCCTATATTCCTTGGTGTG